CTCTTTCCATGAAGAAATTTCTCCTGATAGCCAACCTAAACCTCCCCTGGCGCAGCTTGAGGCCAATGAGGTCTGAGCAAGCATTTGGGCTGATTCTGACTTGGTGGTGGAGAAGCTGGGGCCTGGCAGGAGGCTGCAGGGGCAGAATCGTCCCCAGCCATGGCTCCTTCATCTCCGGTGACCTGGCCTTGGCCAGGAACCTTCCCCTGGGGCAGGAAGGAGACGCCTGGCTCGATGCCTGGCTCGCTGCCTGTTTCTGTTACTTAGCTAACAGCAGCAAAGCCCAGGAGCACCTCAACCATAACATCTTTATTTGTAAGCACCTTCTTCCCGAGCCCTGTGGAGGAACCTGCATTGCTCTCTGGCAGAAAGCGTAACACTAAAACAAACCCAAACAAAACAGAAAGACCCGCCACCTTCCCTGGGGTAGCTGCAGTTGCTGTTCGCTTGCTCTAGGGTTTGCCAAACTCTGTGCATGCCGCCGGCCTCCTCCCACGGCACCACAACGCTCGTGAGCCTGCGGAGCCCTGCTGCTGCCAACAGCTGAGCTGCTCGTGGTGCAGAACAGGGCCCTCCTTCTTCCAGAGAGCTCCTGTCCCACCTCCTGTGCGGCAACTGCTCGTGGTTTTGGGTAGTCGGGCTGCCTCCAGCAGCAAGGGGCTACGGGTGGGCTTCCCGCCGGGGCAGAGCCACTGCAGCCCCCCTTGCCGCTGTCAGAAACCTGCCTGCGCCTTGCTTGGACCTTTCCAGGCATGAAGGGCCAAGACCAGAGAGATCCTGCCTGGCTACGGACAGGCTGCGGGGAGCTGCCGGGGATGTGCAAATCCTGCCGAGGCTTGGAGGAGGCGGCAGCCTAGGGAACGGCCCCCAGCGACTCGTCATAGAAAGCCTTGAGGCCCCGGTGGTGCTGCAGGGAGGGTCTCTTGCCCACCACCTCCTGCCGGAAGTTTTGCCTCAGCCAGCCGTAGACCAAACTGTGCAGAAAGCCCTGGAGGGAGACGGTCAGGGCCTGCGAGAGAGAGGGCAGCGGCGAGCGCTGCCTTTACCTGCCCCCGGCCGCCCTGCGCTGCAGGAGTGCGGCAAACCCCATCGCCCTCTCCGCGCCAGAGAGGCGCCGCACGGGATCAGCCCGCGTTTCACAGGCAGGGTGACACAGGGACACGGGAGGTGGCCTTCCTCTTGGCGTGGTCAACTAAACCAAGGGAAACGCCTGGGCAGAGCTGAGGAGCAAAAAAACCAAACACAAAACCAGGGGGAAAAGCCCCGGCAGAGCCGGGCTGGGACCAGGGCTGCCAGCAGCAAGCTGGAGCCTTTGCCCTGCGTCCATCCCGGGTGGCATCTGGCCGGGTGTCACCAGCGCGGGCTGGCAGCACCCGCAGAGCTCACCCTGCCCAGGGAGGCATCGCTCCAGTCAGCGGGGACCAGTGTGCTCCCGCTCCCCTCGCCCAGCTCCCACAACCCTGCCGCTGCGGCACGGCGGCAGCACGGCTCTCACAGCCCCCCACCCCATCACCACTCACACGTCTGTTGGGGACAAACGCCCCAGCGCTGGAGCCCAGGAAACGGGTTTTTACTTACTGTAGCAACGTAGAGGACAAAGACGGAGGCAGGCTTGATGCTGGTGAAGGAGAGGAGGGTGAGGAGGAAGGCTGTGGGTGGAAGACAAAAGGACACCCCTTGGTCTCGCTCACTCTGATAATGCTTCATCCAGAGTTTCCCTCTCCAAGTGGCAAATGCCCTTCCCCTATCACAGCCCATTTCCCACGGCACCGGGGTCTACACAGGACAAGCACATGTACAATGTTGTACAAGTGTTGTGTCCAACAAGGTCCTTCCCAACACGCTGCCCAAGGACCTCAGGGAACCCATGGCCACAGGTTTCTGTAAGGCTGAAAGCAGAAATGGGCCCCCAAAGGGATGAGCTACTGCCAAAAAAAAGCAGATCCATCAGACACGAGCCACCCTCCAGCTCAGGAAATGCTGCTGGAAGAACCTGCCATCGTAAGAGCAGGGTGGGCTAAACCAGCTGCTGGTGGGACTCGATGCGGTGCACGGGGCTCGGCCG